CATATAACACTATGTAGCACAATTTCATTGACTACCAATTGATTTAAATGATATTCTGTGGTTTTAGGCTGAATGAGCGAGAAGTACATCTAGGGTTGATATATCCTTGTTTTCTGGTGCCAGAATGATAGTAAGCACAGTTTTTCCATGGTTTTTCAGTGACCATTATCTCTTCGTACTGAGGATTGCCTGGTAATGTGTCATAGTAACGGGTTTTGTTTTGTCCATAGTGGCCTATGATTATCAAGTACCGAAACTTCTAATTATGATTGTTTGAAGAACACTTCTTTCTTATTTTTACCTAATATTTTGTTTGAAAATTGGATTTGAACTTTACAGTTTGTACTTGTATGTGCAGGAAATTGGAGTTCTTGTAGCACTAATTCTGCTTATTTCATGCTTGTGTTGCCTTTTTTTACCTTCACTTGCCAGATTGAGGACTATGTAAATTATACTAGTGCTCCTTTGCTTCTAATTACTAGTTGGTTTCTTTGCTTCTAATTACTAGTTGGTTGTGGCTTTTACTTGTTGGGATGTTATTGCATTCATTTATTTGTTTATTTGAGAGAAACTTTTGATATATCCTCTGCTGCTTGTTCCATACACAGGTATATACCAAATGAGTTGCGTGGAGGGATGATGAGCCTTTCTCTAGCCCTGCAAATGCAGCAATTCTATTTGTCCTATTGCAGGTATGTGCCTTTATCCTGAAGTAGGAAATAAATTGAAGTTTTGGGTTTTAGAATTTCTAAAACTAAAAAGTTTTAAGGATGAGGGATTAATAGGCATAAATTTTCTTTACTTTATTTCATCATTCGATTCCTAGTTATTTCTTCAAACATGCAATGTGTTTCCATGCATCTTTATGTCATTGACACTTGTGTATCCTAAGTATCCAAAACATGTCTTTTGAAAAAAAAAATTAAAAATAATAAGATAGGACACATCTTGGGGAGTGTCGACAAGTGTCGGTGGGTGTTTCAGTGGAATGTGATGTAACGATAACTATATTAATATACTATTTTAGCTTTTTATGTTGATTGAGGGAGGACCTTGAATACTTTGTAAAGACGAAGGTTGCAATCTGTAAGTGTAGTTGCAGTAGAATGTTTTGATGATGGTTATTGAGGACATCTGATTGTTAGGATTATTATAGGATTCCACAGCAGAAATTTCAAGGAAATTATTATTTTTTCTTTCAATAAATCCTGGACTCATCCTACATCTCCGTTGGACTTAAAAAAATAAATAAAATAAAATAAACAATAGATACAGAAATTGCTTACCTGCCAACCCTTCGTTACACCGACCCAGTTTTTGAGGTTAGGGTTCAAATAGGTGAAGACTGGTTTGAGATTATACACCCCAACTGTCAGTCAGTCGGTCAGTTAGTGTTAAATTTTCAGATCTAATGGGCCATTATGTTTTTCATTTGTTAGGTTGTAATGCCGCAGTACATTAATAGAGTTTCATATGTTGACATGCCTTTTATCCTAGTTCTTTTGGAACCACACTTTTATATAGACATGGTTCACAGTCCTGCTATTCTAAATTGTTGACTAGGTTTGACATGAACAGAGTAATTTGAGGAAAATTTAATCTTGATATGATACATGACTAGGTTTCAGTACATGGCTATATCGGATGAAAGGCAAAGGATCATGCCAACGCCACATGACCGTGAAGCTGGCCTAGTCCTTGACTACCCTGAAGCTGTTCTGTTGACAAATCCAAGCAATCCAGAGCTCACTGGGGAGGTAAGCTTGACCATTTTTCATTCACCTTCTAGTTATTGCTAAGACAGTCCTATTTCCTAAGTTTTGTGGGAATGGTTTTGTGAATTGACAAAAATGCCCTTTTGTGATTCATCAAGAGTGTTAACTTCTTGATATTTTTGTTCCTTCATGAAGACTTGACAATCACAAGAGGAAAGATTGCATTTGTGTAGTTAGATATGCTAGTTTTTTTTTTCTTTTTTGATGTTGTGTTATGTAGGTGGATGATAAGTACCAATATTCATGTGATGACAAAGGCAATCGGGTTCATGGGTGGATATTCTCCAACCCGGTTGTTGGATTCTGGATGATCACACCCAGTGATGAGCTCCGTACAGGTGACCCTGTCAAGCAAGATCTCACCTCGCATGTTGGCCCAACCACCTTATCTATAAGTATCCGATATTGTTCCCTTTGCACAATCCTTTGCTATTAATCACTTCAGATATCATGCTTTGCAAGAGAGCACACTTTCAAATGGCATCAATTTTACTCACTGGCCCAACACAGTGGCCCATTTACAAAATGAATTTCATGACAAGAAAAAAAAAACGAAAAAAGTAATATATGTAGATGCAAATTCTTGACCAATTCCCACTTCCCAAACGAAGCCTAAAAGAACAAATATTGTTTTGTATTATGATGATGACATCCATAGGAAAAACTAGATTTTAGTATGCCTCTTGCTTGTTGGATGCATATGGTTTACTTTATAAATTGCTTAAAGCATTAAACATAAATGGAGAGAAGTTATTGGAAATATAATGGAGGTTGCAAAAGTGTATAGAAAAGAATGACTATTGACTACTGCTTTCCAATTGGCCGTTTTTGCACTAATTGCTATTTCATCAATCTTACTGATTAATGTGCCCGTTGTATTTATTTAGAGTTATTTTGTTTGGGTGAATAATTTGCTTGGAGTTATTATTTGAATCTTAAGATAGAAGCATCCAAATCTGAGGATTAGAACATTTAATTATCCAGTTTAAAAAATCTTCTACGTACAAATCAGAAAATGTGGCACTAGCTTACGCTACTGTCATAGATCAATACTTCGCAAAATTTCTGGATTTCAGAAGTTTGAATATATGGTATGTCTAGAATGACTTTTGGCGAGGCATAGTTTCGAGTTTCAACAGTTTGTATATTACAATTGTTTTCTCCAAAGTTGTTGCAAGACTATTGGCACCTGTTTTTTTTTTTTTTTTTTTTTTTTTTTTTTTTTTTTTTTTTCTCTTTTTCCCTGTAATGTATGCTCTGAACAGACTGGACTTTTGGTATCAGGTAATGACAAATCAGGAGGCAGTGGAGTGCATTAGGAACATAAAGGATGCTAAAGCAGCTGCTAAGCACCTTACTTGTTGATAGCAAATATTAGTAGTTTTATTTGTTGATAGTTGCGCATGGATAACAAATAGTTATGTTTCAAATTGTTATGCCAGATGGATGTGACTTGTGAATGAAAACTTAGAATAGTTGTGTTGTGTCGAATATTAATGAATTATGTATTGTATCGAATGTTAATGATTCAGTTAATTTGAATGATGTTTTAAAATTATAGGTTTATTATGGATTGAATGAATTATTAGGAATTACAAGTGTATTGTTTTCTTGCTTTGGCAACCAATTTATTAGTCGCGACAAATAAATAATTTTTTTTCGCAAAAAATGACAATTGCCGACCAAGAGTTTTGGTCGCCAAAAATACATCTATTGCCGACCAAAACAGCTCTTGGTCGTGGAAACTCACTTTTGCCGACCAAAAGTTTTGGTCGCGAAAAGTAACAAATGGCGACCAAATTTTTTGGTTGTGTAATTGAGACATAATACATGAATTCAAGAGGAATTAAAACAAGGATTAAGGCTTGGGGGTTAAGACCCTAGGTCTCAAGTTCAAAACCCCTTGGGCCAATCTCCTGGGCGTAGAACAGTTGGTTAGGAGGTTAGCTTCAAGTTGTTGCTACCATAGCACTTGGTGTGGGCCCAATGCTCCCCCGCTGCTCGAGTCTTGATTTAAGTGGAGCTTTTATATACACATTTTTTGTATGTTTTCTAAAACAAATATAGACATAAAAGTTAGATTGGAAACTTTCAAAAATAAAAAAAAGGTATATTATATCAATTTTTAGTTTAAGGAGATAAAATAAAAAATGATGATAGTTGAAGGGAGTAAAGTCTAATCTGCCCAAAGAAAAATGCAATAAAGAACCAATACAAAAACTGATCAACTTCACTTTAATGAATTCGCCCGACAATGTAGATAGACTAAAGGGCATTATTTAATGTAAAATCTATGTCAAGCTTTTAAACAGGTCGAACCGGACTATGTGAGATTAGGCATGAGCTTTGTGTTTGAAATCGGACTATGTGAACCGGCCTACTAGCTCTGGCCCAACCTTAGCTGAAACTCAACCTTCTCTGGCTGCAAAACAAGCAAAGAGCATTGCAGTAACATTGTCAGCACTAACTCAACAGCACCATCTTCAAGTCATCTAAAGAGTAAAGAAAAGGCACCTGAACTTCTGTGATGGCAGAACGGAGTTCAGGAGAGTCCTTGACAGCATTCAGATGATTCACAATCCCCCAAACAATCCATAGTCGGTCTAGGATCTTCTCCAACGGCTCAACCAACTTTGGCCATGCGGGTTCCACTGTAGTCTCCAATTCAACCAAATCACTCTCCTACAACTCCACCCATCAACTCTTATCAGAACCCACATACATCTATACCTATTCTATTACATAAAGCATACATACAGATCATTTGGTGTGAACTTTTTCTGAAATTTCGTCGTGCTTCTTATTTTTGTTTTTCAAGAATATAATTGTTAATTTAGAACTATACATCCAATAAATAACTGCTCAACATTTTTTAAATTTAACCCATCTTCCTGATTGTCAAACCACCCAAAAGTTTAGATGTAAAACTGCCAAGTGTCATGTTTTGCAACCACAACTAGTATATATCTTTACAATTTATCTATCTACCTATTCTTTCTATTATATGAGTAAAGGGCTAAGTTAGTGTTGACACTTTTGTGTCACATGATTTTTATTCCCGAATTACTCTTCTCTGACTAAGAATTGAATCACAAGCAAGTTTTTCTATAACTACCTATTCGATCTATAAAGGCCAATTTCAACCCACAAGGAAATTTCAAGCACACCCATGTAGGTGTGCACAACCTCTAGTACTATTATAAAGCCATCACTGTTGTTGGTGTTTATGCCATATTTCTTCTTCTTCTTCTTCTTCTTCTTTTTTTTTTTTTTATGTGTCACATGATTTTTAGTATAAATGTACAAAGAATATATAAAAATATGTATAATAAAAACATATTAAATTGACTTGATAGGTTATTTTTAACATGAGGCACAAAGAAAATAGGCTCTTATCTTTTACAGACACCAAACAAAAAAAAAAAAAAAAAACAACAACTTAGGACGTGTGGGGTGAGCACAAAAACAATTTCTATTTTATTTGCTAATTACAACAATATTTATAGCAGTCAATTAATTTGATCACTATAGTCTCAAATGCAACAAATTTACCTATTAATTTGTCTCTATCAAATTAATCCAACTAATAATGATATTCACGAGAAAAAAGGGGTAAATCAATAATTTGATGTACCATATACGAGTTTCAAGTCTCATTCCCTCCCTTTTCACATAATTTTATCTCTTAAAATAAAAATGATACCAGTAGTAAAAAATTTAGATAGAAAATGACTGCGTGACTATCAAATCAACAAGGCCACGGGATATAATGGTAAAACAACACATTTCTTGGCACATACCATAGCCAACATACCATAGCCAATAAACCTTCTGCTCTAATCAAAACTGAGCAAAAAAAATTCTTCATGAAATATCTGATTGTGACAAAGTGAAATAGAACAAGAAAAATTGAAAAAGAAAACTAAATTTGTTTGGTGTTTTAGTGGGTGCCATAGTTAGGTCCCAAAGTGAAATCATCTTCACCTGATGTTCTAGAATTATTATGAATCATTTGATCAACACACAAAATAGAGAGGAAAAATAAGCAAAGCATTTTTTTCTACACACACACACACACACACACACAAAAACATGAACATCATCATCATACCCAACGCAGCTCTTTTCCTCATCATCCAATCCTAGATATTGCATAGCTCTCCTTCCACCATCCACTGCAGGGACTATCAACACAGACAAAGCAAACCCATTGACACATTTAATCAAACACTTGATGTGCATGAAAATGGATGCCAAAAAAAATATGAATTTGCTTAAAACCTTTACAAGAACATGAACATCATCATCATCGAAGACTTATCTTTCAAACGTTTCACGTCCGATCATTTAACAGGTTTCACTATAAAATCCTCTGCCCCTTCCTCCAAACACCTGTCATTTACAAATGAATATCAATATCAAAATTTTAAAATTATAATACATAATAGTTTGAAATTTTAAATATAAATTTACAAAAACACAATGAGCTAAACATTATCAAACATAACTGGGTTCCTCTGCATCGCTTAATAGGTCCTGTTCTTGCTCGTACTCGGATGAAACTGCGGTGTTTTGTACGAACTTGGAAGGCGAGGAGGCTTCGAAGGGTCTAGAAGGAGAGAGAAGAAATGAGGAACTTCGTATTCGTCGCACGCTGCTCGATGTCGTCATCTGCCGCCGCTCGCCGGAGAGAGAGAGAGAGCCGTAAGAAGAGATTAGGGATTTTTGGTTGTAGGGGATTTTTATTTTTTTATTTTTTTTTTGTTACAGGAAAATCCTCCCGTTCTTCCGCAGGTCCAAGGCAGTGGCCCTTGAGGAGATCTATAACTTGGAAGAAGCTTGTCCCGACCTCCTAAGGTAAGCTCCGCTCCCCTGGGTTGTTGTAGGGGATTTTGGTTCAAGAGATTGGGGGGCTTTGGTAACCCGAGCGGGAATGGAGAAAAAAAAGGCACCCGCCGCCGGGGGGTTGGGGTGGGGCCGGTGGAAATTTTTTTTTTATTTTTTATTTCCATCGCAAATGAATATTTAAAAAAAAAATTTGTTAAAATAATTTTTTTTTATAATTAATGAAAATTACGTTTGTTGAAAATTTATTTGTTTCATTTTTATTTTAATGAATAAAAAATTATTATTATTATTATTATTTTCATTTTGAATAAAAAATATTTTCCATTAAAAAAAAGTTAATTTTTTGTCATCAATGAAAATATTTTTCTGCAACCCATTTTTTTTGTTACTAAAAATTAGGAACTAATTTTTTGTGGTAAAGGATAGGGAGCGGCAGTAGTGGTAAAGGTGGTGGATAAGAGGTGATAGTGGTGGTGGTGGTGATAGCGAATGAATGAGATTAGTGGTGAGTTGTGTAGTGTAGAGGAGAATAGAGTAGCGGTGGTGGATATGAGGTATGGTAGTAGTAATGATGGTAGTGGAGTGGTGGTGATAGTAGTAGTAATGATAGTCGTAGAGGCGAAGTGGCAACAGTGGTAGTAGTTTGGTAGTGGAATGTCATTGTAGTAGTGGTGAAGGTGGTAGAGGAGATGGGTGGTGAGAGAGAAATAAGTGAGAGACAGATAGAGAAGAGAGATTAGAACAGAGACAGAGTGATGAGCAATTGAAAGAAAAGATGGTCACCAAAAAGTGCATTTTCTTATGTAGTGGTCTCGATAAATCGAAAGATGTCTTGGTAAAATAGAGAAGAAGGTGAGCGGGGAGTAACGCCAAGGCGACACATAAATGAGGGGGACAATAGACAAGACAAATTAACAACAAATAGACAGGCAGATAGGAAGAAAAGGAGAGGAGAGAGAAGAGTGATGAGTGAAAGAGATGAGAGACAAAAGAGAGAGAGAGGAGAAAAAAGAGAGAGAACACAGAGATGAGCGAGCAGATAGACAAAAGAGAGAGAAAGAGAACAAAAGAGATGACGAGAGAAGACATAGAGAGAGAAGAAAAATGAGCGAGAGAGACATAGAGGAAATAGATGAGAGAGATAGAGAAAGAGAGAGTGGCGAGAGAGGAGAGATAAGAGACGAGAGATGAAATGAATAAACAGGCAAGAGAGAAGACAGATGAGAGAGATAAAGAGAGAGGAGATGGCGAAGACAAAGAGAGAAAGAGAGAGAGAGACAGAGACAGACAGACAGACAAGAAGAGTTGATGAGTTAGAGAAGAGAAGAGAAGAGAGAGAGAGAAAAAGAGAAAAAGATTAGAGAGTAGAGACAGAAAAAGAGACAGAGAGAGAAGAGAGATGCGAGAAGAGATAGAGAGAAGAGAGGATGTAACGAGAAGAGGACAGAGAGAGAGGATGAGAGAAGGAGTAATGAGTGAGAGCACCAGAGAGAAAAGAGAGACAGACAGGCAGACAGAGAAGAGTGATGAGTGAAAGAGAGAAAGAGAGAGAGAAGAAGCAGAGGAGGATGAAAATGGGTGAAAAGAGACAGAGAGGGGGGTAAGAAGAGATTAGGGATCTTTCTGGTTTTGGAAAGGATGGTTTGCCGATTTGGGGATTTTTTGTTTGGGTTGGGGGGTTACAGAACGGGTGGAAAAAAAAGAGGGTGGGGAATGAAAAAAAAAAGGAGGGGAAACTAGCTGGAGATGGAAAAAAAAAAAATTCCGTCACAATGAAATTTAACAACAAAACGTGGTTTAACCTTTTTTTTTTTTTTTTTTTTTTCGCGAGGTTTTGCCGTCGCCAAAAAAAATTATTTTTTGTTAAATAATTTTTTTTGTAGTTTAATGATTTTTTTTTTAAAAAAAAAAGTCATTTTTTTTTAGTTGTAGCATTGAAATATTATTGTTTTTAATTTTATTAATGAAAAAAAATTATTATTATTTTTTTTAATTCAATAAGTCCACATTTTTTGCGACGGCAAGTTGTGCGTCTCAAAAAGCACATTTTTCACGACGGCAACGTTTACCGTCTAAAAAGTCACATTTTTTTTTGGCGCGGCAAGCTGTTGCCGTCTCAAAAAGGTACATTTTTTGCGACGGCAGTATTGTGTTGGTCTCAAAAAGTCATATTTTTTGCGGACGGGCAAGTTGTGCCGTCCAAAAAGGTCACAATTTTTGCAACTACACAAGTTTGTGCGTCACAAAAAATTTACTTTTTGCGATGGCATATGTGCCGCCAAAAAGTTTTTCTCATATAGCCCACTTTTCTTTGTAGTGAACTTTATAAATAAAATAAATTGAACTATCATTTCACCAAATAAGATCCAATAAAAAATTTTGACTAAAGTTCCATTAGGAACATTTAAAAAAAATATTAAATAACTGAGATACATTTTAAGAGTGAGTCATTACAGAAAATTGGAATCTACACCGTCCAATACACCCGAACTATTTTTTCTCTGTCCATATATGTTATAATACAAACAAATGTGTTTAGGTTCATTGGCGTGAGATTTCTATCATTCTTAAATCAAATTCATTGGGATGAACGTTTGGAACTGATTATACCATGAAAGTTACAATAATTTTTCAATTTGTACATACACATCAATCATTAAAAATTGGAATATCAAATATCTTTATATTAATTTGAAACTTACAAAAGACAAAATTTAATTCATTTAAAAGGATTCTTTT